CATGAGTCAAGTTAAACTAGTGGTCAAAAAAGTATCTATTTAAAGAATGTGAAAAGGATAGCACTTCATACTGAGGAGAAGCCTGTTTCCTTCTCTATTTCATTTCATGTCCTTTTTGGTGTTTCCCCATGTTTTCAAATCTTGTTTACCTTACACCTGAGATGACACCAGAATATCCTTTATAAAGGATTTATACTCGGATTCTACTTTTCATCTGGCTCTTATTTCATCTTTCTGTATGAACCTGTATGACCTGTTCTTTAGAGCCACGTAAAGTATGCATCCCTTTGACAGGTCAGTGCCATGTTTTATACTTGATGGGGAGGAGCTGTGGAATGAGTAAAATCAAAACCACAGGTTTGAGACTACCAGACTACAATGTGAAATCCTTCTATGTAATTATTTTGTATAAAGTGTGTAAGCTCATAGCTTGCTCAATTGACATCACTTCTGGATGACAGTGGGACTGAACCCTAACTCTGTCTTTTCAGGACCAAAAGACTCACTGTTGTGAACTCATTCCATCAGCAGTGCATGAGGTTGTTCTAGGAGCAAGAAAATGTGAAAATTTCAGTATGCTTCTTTGGAAGCTTGCGGCTAAGTTTTACTGGGGTGCTAGTGTAAAGCTCCTAGTAAAAACATATTTTCATGAATTCAGGCAAAACTACAAATTTACCTGTAGAACCTATTCAAAGCTAAATAAAATTAAAAATAAAATGTGGTTTCAAAATTATCTATTAAATTAACAGTAAAGCTTTCTCTTAATAAAATTTCATCTACCAGAGAAGATATTTCTCTACATCTTTGAAAAGTTGCCACAAGTCTGTGGTGTTGACATGCTAGTGAATGACTTGAGACAAGGCACTTTATGTTATTTCACATGAATGTCCTCACACAACTACAGAATAAACAAGCATTCCAAAATATTATAAAAATTAATTTTAATTTCCTATGGATTTGAACCCTAAATGCTTTCCTATAATGAAAAACATCCATAATGTCTGGTGTGTGCCATGACAACAACTTTAGACTTTACCTCCTCAGTTCTCTGTAATAACTGTAGTATGATTACACCATTCATTCCCCAGATTCCATGGGACACTATTAATCAAGAGCTATTTTTGTGTGGCTGTTTCAGCATTATGACTTGCTTATTGACCACTCAGACATCAAATTCTGGTTTGCTTATTACTTGTTTAATTTTAGATTTAAGATTTTAGACTTTGCTAGACATATGTTTCACAGCTAACCTGTGGAAATTAATAGACACAATTACTTGGATACTTTAATGGTGGTGCAATTGAAGAGTGAGATATGAAAATCTGAAAATTGCATTTTCAAGGTATTTTTATTTTTTATTTAATATTCTCGATTATGTTTTAAAATTGAATATATATTTAAAATACAATATATATTTTGAAATATAAAAAAGGAAGTATTCAATAGCGGTGGACAATCTGCAAGACAATATTCAGAATATGATGCTATTTTCTTCCTCTTCCATATTACAGCATTCTGACAATCTGAAAAGCCAGGAATCTGTCTTTAAGTCATAGACTTTTTATCTTGAAGGAATTTATATTTAATCTCTTTCTATTGTAGATTTCAAATCTTCTATTTCAGATTAAAAAAATTCACTACTTTAAAATTTAGTAAGAAACTAGAAAATAGCTGACACTTCAGAATTTATGCTATTATTTCCCCCGAGGGGACCCAAAAACTTCATACATTAAAAAAAAAATTCTTATTTAAAATAGCTTCTCCCCTGCCTTGTAATCTTATTTAAAATAAATAAATCTTATTTAAAATAGCTTCTCCCCTCCCCCTGTAATTGATACTTATGTCACTAAAATAGCCCAAGCAAATTCCCATGGAGTACTAGCTGTGTTCAGAGTTAATAAAATGTATGTAGAGCACCATATTGTGTTATCTGGATATTAAAAGGCACAATGTGTCAAAATGGTAACATCAAAACTACAGGTTTTTTATGCTACAGAAGCATTTCTGTAATCTGTATTTTCTTGTAGCGCTGAGATTTTGGTACAGGGAAATGCTTTATCTAACCACATTAAAAAAATACTTCCACATATGAATTCCACCAGTAGAAAATTCAACTCCTTTATATTTCACTATTGGGTCATAGCATAGTCTCAGGCATCAAAATGTTGTCTGTTGAAGTGAAATTGAGCAGAATAATTACAGTGTACTAAATAATTCAGGGCTCAGTGGTTTGTCTCAGCTACTAGTTTACGTGTCCTACATAATGTCAAAAGTAAATTAGAGTCCAGCTCATGACATTTAACAAGAACCTGATGAACAGGTAATTTATTGCTGTATCTTTCGGGGTTTTATTTACTTAAGAAAAAAAAATCACTACACTTAAAATATGAGAATTTTCTAGGGTTTTTTTTGAGTTAACCTTTGGAATAGTTTTAATATTTCTTCACAATATGGATGTACCACTTGCAAGTACGTGCTATGTTAGTAATTTTATTCTCACAATAAGATGCTTTTTTCCCCAGACAACTATTTTTTCCAACAACTTATTCAATGCATATGGCAACTCATGTTCTCTTAACTGTTCATATGTTACATTCAACAACTCATGCATGCAGATAATTGCATGCAGATAAAAAAAAAAACTACTTCACTGCTGATTTGAAGTAGTTAACAAGAAAAAAAAACAAATTGACCCACTAAAATTCTATGCTGTTTACTTAAAAAAAACCAAACCACCAAACAAATGTGCATGTATTTCCATTGGATTAAGAACCAAAACTATAGAGAACAAAAGTATTGAAGGTGAATTTAACTAATTCCTAACCCACCTGGTGCTGGACCAGCTACCATTTCACTTGGCAAGGAATAGAAACTGCAGATCCTTGTGTCTTAATCTGTAGTTGCTTGTGTAACCATCAAATCGAGGGACTAAGAGGGCCTTAAGGTGTAAGTTTAGGCATGTGGCTTGACTAAATAACCCGGTTTGGGGACATTGTAATAGATTAATCCAATATCCCAAAGGAATTCTGCACACAGGCAGGGTTTGAGTCCAATTCCAGCACGGCTTCACCTGAGTTATGTGATTTTTCCATTGCCAATTGATATTTCTTGGCATGTCTTACCCATTTTTAAACCAGACCAGAAAATTAATGGAAAATTTATGCATTTGAGAATTTTCCTGTCTCCCTTCAGGAGGGTATAAGAAGGAAGTTATTGCTCATGTTTACAAGAAACTTGCATACTGAGTAAAGAGGATTGATATAATTTCTGTGTAGAATTAACAGAAAAAGGGACAATTCAGAGAACACAAACCTACAATTTTGCTTTGAAACTCTGTATTTCAGAATACCAGAGTCTTTATGTTAAGGTCTTGCTCATCATTTCAGTTCTTGGGGATTAGCAGCACTGATAGCATCTAAGATAAAAAATTCTTCCTCTCTGTTCATGTGACATGTGGTGAGTCGTTTTAGTAAATGTTGCCTGGCTGATTTTTAGCTCACAGCACAGTATATTTAAAATACATCTCTCTTTCCACAACCCATTCTGTATTTGTTTTACTTTTGTGCTCGATCAATTACCTATTGCTTTTCCTCTCATTCTCATCCATACGCCAAGAGCTTTTCATTGACCTGAACTGCTGTGCCTCCTGCTTTCTTTCTGCCTTCTTCAAAGCAATCTTTGCAAACAAGAGTATCTATCAACTCCATCTTCCTTCAAATCAATACGTAAGTATGCATCTTCCTTATGAGTCACGGCCTTTTCCTTTATTCATTATTTGTGCACATTTCTGTAGCAGTTAACAACAGCCCAACTCCAGTCAGTCAAATAACTACTGTAAGTTTTTGAATGTTAAGCACAAGTTAATGCAGCATTTAATCTGCCTATTAGTTACTTTGAAGGAATTTTAAATACTGGCCCTTTAAGTTATCTCCACTTAAGAAAAGTAAGCTGGAACTCTGTACTCTCACAGAATGTCCTTCTGGAAGAAGTGATTCTGAAATCACCTAAAAACCTAAATATTTCTTTCTTCCTGTAAATTTACACCTAGCTGGGACAGAACATACACATCCACTGCACTTTGCAAGTAAGGAGCACTACTCTATAAGTAAAAACCTCTCAGGCTGCTGACAGTATCACCTTTAAAGAGGCATGAAATCTACTCATAATCTAGTTTTGCACTATTTAATTTGCTTGAATCTGTTTTCAATGCATGTCCAGTCAGAGTTCATATAACAGACCTGTGTCTGTACATTCTTAATCTAATCAGACCTCGATCTTAGTGGTAAAAGAGAAAAAACCAGAGAGAGTTGGGAACACAACTCAACTCTTAAGGTGCCTGCTCCCCTCCGCTCCTGCGGGGCCAGGCCTGAGGGCGGGCCGGGCTCGGGGGACCGGCGGGTCCGCGCTCCGAGGGGCGGGGCGGGAGCGGCCGGCGGGAGCCACCTGCCCCCAGCGCCGCCCTCCGCCCTCCCCGGGACCGCGCTCGCAGCTCGCTCGGCCGCCGCCTCGGCCCGGGGCGAGGCTTCCTGCGCCGCCGCCTTACCCGGGAGCCAGTCCCGGGCTGCGGCCGCCGGCGGGGGCGAGCGGGAGATCGCGCCTTATGCAACCGGCTCAGGGAGCCGCCGCCTCGCCGGCAGCAGCAGCAGCGGCAGCAGCGGCAGCAGCAGCAGCCCGGTGCTGTGCGTGAGTCCAGGGGCCGAGGGGGGAGAAGGTGTCCGGCCTCAGCCGTGCGCGGGCAGTGCAGGCACTCCCGCCTCGCTCCCGCCGGGCCGTTCCGCAGGTGCGGCGAGGTTGAGGCGGGCGGGGGCTCCGGCCGTGCCGTGCCGTGCCGTGCCATGCCGTGCCGTGCCGTCGGAGCTCCCTGTCTCCGTTGCTCCTGAGCAGTGTTGGGCCGGGCGTCCCGCTGTGGAGGAGGTGAGGGCGGGAAGAGCCTCAGCCCGCGCCGGCCTTCGCCTCCGCGCCCTGCCCGGCCGTGTGCCCGGCGGACTGGCTGCGGGGAGATGCGTGGCTGGGACGACCTTTACCCGCTCCCAGTGCCGCCCTCCTGGGTACCGGGGGCTGCTGTAGGCATTCTTTCCTTGCACTTCATCCAGAAACTCCTCTTCCCCTACTTCTGGGCCGACCTGAGATACCTGCTCAAAGTGGTGACCTATGGGGCGAGAATGGAGATGTACCGACTGCAAGGGAGGGTTGTCACTGTCCTGGACAAGTTTGTGAAGCTGGCGGAGAAGCAGCCCCACAAACCGTTCCTCATCTACGAAGGGACCGTTCACACCTACAGAGATGTGGACCGGAGGAGTAACAGGATAGCCCAGGTCTTCCTGCAGCACGAGGCTCTGAAGAAGGGGGACACGGTGGCCTTGCTGATGGGGAACGAGCCAGACTTCATCAATGTGTGGTTTGGACTGGCCAAGTTGGGCTGCGTGGTGGCGTTCCTCAACTTCAATGTCCGCTTCAGATCTCTCCTGCACTGTGTCAGTAGCTGTGAGCCCAAGATACTGGTTGTGGGAGCAGGTAGGGTATACTCCTCATTCCTACATCCAAAGCTTTTAATGTCACATCTCCCACATACCTGGCCCTCCAGATCATTTGTTGGAAACCTGATTTAGAAATGTTCACAGAATGAAAGAAACACAGAGCTGGAGGGGGCTTCAAGATCTTATAAAGCTTCAGCCTCTCAGGCAGAATCAATTATATCCCTGCTTTGTGAACATCCATTTAACCTTTTATTAAAAAATGTGTATTACAGGAGAGTTTTCCACATCTGAGTACAGCCTGTTCCGAGTATTTAGTTGTGTCAGTAAAAGTGTCTCTGAAAGCATTAAAATTACCTATTAATTTTCCATTACTTCTCAAACAGTCAAATTTAATCTTACTTAAGTCATGTACTTTATTCTCTTGTACTACCTGCCCATCTTTCTACTCATCAAAAACACTGCAAAACTGGAAGGTCTAAACTTGGACTGTACAGCCTCTGCTGTTCAATTGTTTGCAGAGGTATGACAGTTTTACAAGAATAAAATTTTGGAAATAGAATACATAGGAGGTTGATTCATAATAGCAAACTTACTATTGGTGTTGGATTGTAGAAGAAATTGCTGTGTTTGAATAGGTAGTGTGTGTGGTGCAACTTTCTGGAGTATTACATTTTTATTAAATGCTTCAAAAGAATTTAAAATCTTGTTGTAGGCATCCTGCTCATTCTATGTTCAAATTTGGCTTAATTAGATAGATGTATAAACTGAAGACAGATCCAAAACATTAACTTGCCAAAACTCATTTATGGTGAAGTGAAAGTGAACCTGCAAGGCTCAAAGACCGCACAGAAGCTTGACACTTGATTGGAAGAAAATATAACTAAATATTGCATATTATTTGTCCCATATTGTCCCTTCTCTTTAAAAGTATTGTTTCAAGTCTCCTTTGCCTTTTTTCTGTTGCACACCTTCTTGCTTTACTGCTGTTACACAAGTTGTGAGGTTTTACACCCATGACACCTAAATGATAGAATTCTCTTCCATCTGATATCTACTGCTATAAAGCTGTGTTTTCAAAAATGCATTTAAGATTTTTCCCTTGCATATTTTTAAATTATAAATCTTCTCATTCTGATTCTATATGGTTTCCTAGTTTAAGATGTTTGGTAATTAAAACAAGCCAATGAAAACAAAACCAATTTAAATATAATCCACATACGGGATAACAAGGGTTCTGAACTGACAGCTTTTCATTTTGCTTCCTTACTTAATTAAAAAAAAAATCTTGTTTAGTTTCTTCTTATGAATATGTGCTTTTGAGTGTATGGATTGAGGAAGGGAATTAATGTTCAGGAACTTTCTGCTCATTGACTGTGGAAAGGGAGAAACTTTGTATCAGAGCTTGCATCTGAGAGAAGTTTTTATTTAAGTTAGAGGTAACTAATGGGTGAGAAAAGCATTTGCAGAGCAGCGCTGGGAACTGTGTTTCTTTGCTCTTAATTTGCTACCAGCAGCTGATAGTGAGAGCAACTGTGTTGAACTAGGTTCTACTGGGATTCTGCCTCTGCTCACAAGGGAAGAGCTGTGTGCGACAGCTGATACAACACAAATACCAACAAATTAGTCTCTCAGCTGGTATTTTACATTTTGGACTTCTTACTTTATTAATGGCCTTTAGTTTCTGCTGTAAGTCTGCTGGTCCCATAAGCCTTCAGGACTTAAAAGCTCTTTTTTTGTTTTTATCTGTGAACGAGGTTAAAGTTGCTATGTCCTCAGCTATTGACCGTATAATACAGGAGCTTCTCCAAAGGAGACCAGGTTTGGCAATTGAAAGTTTATACACAGACCAGTGACTGTGAGGCCTAATTCATACCACTCTTGAAAGAAACATATTGAACCTAATTATTATAGATAATAATTTCCCCCTAACGTTTATAAAAATTTCAGAGCAATGTTTAACAGTGGGATTACACAGTCAGCTACATAATTCTTAGAGATCTATTAAACATCTTTTTGTTCAGTGTTATTGTGAGTATCAAGGGATTCTTCCTCATCAATAAACGTGAGTTGTTCATTTTCCTCTTGTGGCACCATTTTCACAGAACTGTGGATAGTTTGAACGTGGTGTATATTTTTTTTCAAAGCATTTACTACAACCAATCCACTTGTGGTCTAATTTTTGTCATTGCCATAGACAGGCATCATGTCTGGCAATTGAGACTGTTTTTTTAAAATCGGAGAATAGTAGGTAATGGCAGTATTTCTGGATAATGAAATTCTTTTAAAACTATGTAGGTTTTTCACCTTCCACAAAGAAATGCAGGTTAACTTAGCAATTCTATTTCTTAGAAATAGTTAGAAACTATGTCTTCAGTGTTTTGGATGACCTTTGGTCTTTTTCATGGACCGCAGCACGGGAGAAATTATCCCCTTAACAATTTGACTCCCTGTGTTCAGCAAGACCAAATTTGCTCTTGAAATTCTTGTTTGTAATAGCACATTAAAACAGGAGCCTATGTACAGTTCTGCTGTTATATCTTAGTGTATATCTAGTTAATATTAAGGTTTCATTTATGCTGATGGAAACCTTCAGCTGCTGCCTGAAACAATTCTCACTGATGATGGTTTATGGCAAAATCTTCCTTGCTCAGACTGCTGATGTAGCCTCCTTTTGTGTGATGATTGCATCTTGCAGCTTTTTTGTACCTCATTTTCAAAAATGCTTTTATTTCTTACAAATGTGATACCTCCATACAATTAGGTTTGATATTATTTATGGTTGCATTGTCTTCCATACCTTGTTCCATTTTTCATGGTGCCTCTTGTAAGAGCACTCTCATATGCCTTTTTTTACTCCTAAATTTTGTTGTGTGCCTGCATATTTGTCAGGCATTGTGGTTTGGTAAGCCCATCCAATTAGTATTATCTTGTCTTTGCTTCAGCACTTGGAATCAGACTTTCTTCTGATCTGACAATTCTCTTATACTTGTATTGCTTTTTCTAACTTTAGTTCAGAGTGTTTCAGTAGTATTTAAGTTTTGTGGATTTGATTTTGTCTTAATGTATTCTATGAACTCAGCAACTGAATGTTTTATTCTTAACATTTATAACAGATTATTTATTATTATATATAACAGATATGTTATAAAAACTTCAGGGTTTCTTTCTCTTGTTGGTTTCCTATATGAAATGGCTATCTCTAAAAGTGTGGGTTTTTTTCCTATGACACTGATGCTCTTTTAATTAGTTTAGTGCAATCAAGTAAATTTTTTTGTCTTCTTGTCCAGGCTCTGGCTAAAAAGCAAATATGGATTCTGTTATTTGCCAATATGTAGTCTTTCTGTTCCTTTCCATTTGCCTTTGTGTCAGAGAGACAGAGTTTTTTTACTTTAACTTCTCTCATTTGTCTACTATGTTCCCAGAATATTTAGCTCTTGCTTTAATTTGTTGCTTAACCTTTTCACACTTCCATTCCCAGAAACATTTTCTCCCACCACTCCCATTTTGGGGAATGTTTCTTGAAAGAGGTTCAAAAGCTAGAGTTTCAAACTGCATTTTTAATAAAACAGTAGTTAACTAACTTTTATGTCAATGAGGAACTTGTGAAAGAGAAAGAAAGAAACTGTATGTTCTTCTCTCTCAAAAGCTGTTCATTCTTACTACACGTTACCAGACTATGCCACCCTTAGTTGTTTAAATAAGCTGCTGGTTAAACAGGGGAGGTAAGGCACTGCTTAAAATGAAGACATCTTTTAAGGTGTTATGTCCTTTTTGGTGAATATTTCTAATGATCGAAGACTTGCTTGAAGAAGGGATTACATTGCATCTGTTCTATCATTGTGTCTATAGCAGTATCTACATCAGCAATACTACTAAACAACACATACAGTTTAGTGAACCACCAGAAATGCACAAATGGAATTTATTTGCCAGGGCATCTCTAGTCTGATTCTACTGGGAAGAGTTCTGCCCAGAGTAGGACATCTCAGATTGCCATCATGACTTCTGATGCAAGGATTCAGCTGTTAAAGGATTGCCTTCTAAACTCCATGAGATTGATTTACATCAGTCCTGATAACAAAGGCTATTAAGGGAGTGTACATGCTGCATGGACACGTGTGGCAGTGTGCTCTACGTGGCTCTGCTTGAGCAGGGAGATCGGACCGAGGTGACCTCCAGAGGCCCCTTCTATTCACAGCCATCTTGTGATTTTGCAGTTCTGTACAGAGGTTTGTCTCCCAGCTGTATTGCATTTTTCTGGCCAGAAGTTTTTACTCTTGAGGCACTAGCAGTGCTTTCTGCTGCTGCTGCTGGGTGTATTTTGAGCTAGACAGAAGCATGTCTAAATCCTGGAGAAAGACAGTAAGCAAAGTATTTTTTGAATTTGTAAATTAAAGTCATTTGATGTTACATACAAGTAGAAATCTCATCTGTCATGTTAGTCACTGAATGAAAAAAAAGAATGGATTGTATTGAAACAACTTTTTCTTATCTATTTGGAATAAAAAGCTATTTAGACCTAAACATTTAGAAGAGGACCATGGAAGACACCAGCTCTGTTAGACACCATATCTCTTTGATCACTTGCTCTACTCTAGTCTGTGTCTTGTCCCAGATGGTCTTTGAGGGGAAAAAAGAGCTGACTGTGATTTGCAAGGTGGTTTATATTTTGTTACCCTTACTGCCTTCAGTGGCACTTCAAGACACCAGCACTGATCCTGAGCTACAGCTGACTTTTCTGCTATTATTACTTTGTGAGAAGCCATGCTGAGTCACTTGGGGGATCAAGTACAAGTAACAATTACTTTCTGAGGCCAGACAGTGTGGGGAAGAGTCCGGACTTGATATAACTTCCTGAACATATCAGCCAGGGTACACATCAAAGTTATGTAAGAACCATTTCTTGGAGTTTTCTTTCTGAGTAACTTTCTGTTCAGTACAAACTGATCTCATAATCTAATGTATTCCTTTCATCAGCGTGGGACTGTGTCCTTGCCAACAGCCTGCATGATCTCTGCTAGAAAATAACATAAAAAAACCTTTGTGCAACTAGAAGCCTGGGACAGTAGTTCAAAACATATTTTCCTTGCTTTCTCAAAAGATGTAACTGAGTTATGTATTCATGTGAATATTAAGTAACAGTTTCACAAACTTTTACTGAATAATGCTTTAAAAGTAAGAGGAGAAAAAAAGCAAACAAAAGCAGAAAAACATATCCATTCTGATCAATTCCAGATATTTTTTTTCCCAGTAGGAGCCAAATAATTAGCAAATGGCAAACATTTGTATACAAGCAATGTAAACAGCACAGATGGAACTTGCCAAATTTTGTATAAGGAGATATTTCTCCCAAAACAAGTAACCCAAAATCTGAATATACTTTTGTAGTGTAAAGAGTAAATAAGTATTATTTGAGTAAAACTCCAAGTTTAAATACCAGAATTGCTTTACTGTAATTGCTTTTCTGTATGAGGTGCGCATACAAGATGCCTTTAGAAATATACAAATCATAGCTCTTCCAAGAGGGCTGTGTCTTCCTCACATGTGGAAAAGAAGATATGTAAAGACTAGACAGCTCTACACAATGTCTGGCACAGAAGTTTTCTGTTTGGGGAACAAAATGTTAATTGACCATCATTAGAATTATTATTTGGAAATGTGTTAGTACAACTTAGAGTCATCTCCAAACACCTCATCTCATGTGTGTTCCAGAAGAAACTTTCAGTTTCTGGCACTTTAAATACAGCTGTTTTAGCTTACCTTTTTTTATTCAGGAAATAATTTATTGTTTCTGCTGTTCTGTGCTATCTACTGAGAAGTTTCTTTCACGATAACTTTTAATTACAAGCTGTTCATGTATTGTTCAAAGTATTAGATTCCTGAGCACAGAAGAAAAATTATGCTGTGTAATCATTTAATTGTTCAATAGCAGTAAAAAGCTCCAGAGCCACTGGTTTTAAGAGTGAGTGTTTGGAGAAAAAATTACAAGTGTGTATGTTTAATATGATGATTAATCTTAACTATTTTGAGTACATATGTTTCAGTCTACCCAAAGGGAACTGTGTCCTCATGTCGTTTTTGAATCTTGAATGAGTGTGTCTGCAGGGCTGAAATTAATAGTTCCTATCTTTCTTCCTTTCCTGCACAAAAAGGGGGAAAAAAGAAAAAGAAGAGGGAAATACTCTTCTTTTTGACAGATTTGCATTGTAGATGAAGCTAGTGCATTAATAAAGAATGGTGGAGAATCTCTATTCTCTACTACTTCTGAAAACAGAACTAGAACTCCAGCTACTTCCAGCGCCTCTGTTTCTTTTGCTAGGTTCTACACAAGCTATCCTTAGTATGTTTGAGAGACATATATGCGTAATAGGAAGACAAAATCAGTATGAGATGGTAATATGTGCATAGTTATTCCATCACACTTCATTTATTAATACGTGTTAGAAGTAGTACAGTTGTATTTTTCTATTTATTGCTCAAAAATATGCCATAATTCCATAATACCACAGCTAGACAGAATTAATATGCCAATGAACCTTGACATTCATGGCATCAGGTTTCCTGCAGTTAATACTACTGTTCTTGACATTATTTTTTGTGCAAATTTTTTCACCTTGTTGCTGTCTATAGTGGGACTGTACTCCAGTGATTCAAACAGCATCTTTCAGATTTAAAAATCTTCAGTTGTTTTGGCATAAAATTTATGCATATGGTATCCATATTTAATATTTGTGAAGTGAGTTGGGAGTTGGCATCAGGATTTCAAATGCTGGCTCTGGCAATGCCTCATTGTGATGTTCTGGGTGAGTCATGTCAACTTTGTTTATTCAAAGTTTATTCAACTTTATTTATTATAAGAACTGAGATAATAAAATAAATTTATACCCACAGGTGTATTTTTAAGTTTAATTACTTAGACTGAGATGTATCAAAGCCCTAAGGTGTAAAAGAGTTCTACTGGAAACAGTATTGTTCCTGTTGTTGGTATGTTTCCTGGATTAGTACTTTAATGACTGTGCAGTCTTCTGAGAAAGTGACATTGTAAAAATGCTTCAAAATATAAATACCAAATAGGTTATTTAAGGATTATACTTTCTATATATTTTCTTTTTTATTTACTCTGGGAACTTCTCTCATTGTTTCTTTCCTGAGAAGCCAACAGAATAGAATTTAGTTAAACTGCTGTTTCTTTTTAAATCAGTCACTTCTGTGCTTTTGAAAAAAAATTAGTTCTCAATAGGAGATTGCTGTTGAGGGCATCTGAGGAAACCTGTACTGTAATTATCAGTTATGCATATATCTGCCTCCATGGATTTCTTCAAGATTTATTTGAAGTTGAAACTTAACCACATTTCATCCTAGTCTTAACAATGACTAAGGGCTACCTAAAATCATGTGGACAATAGGAGCTAGTAATCAAGGCTCACAAGTTTGCCTTGAGAGCTAGTTGACCATTCTACTATGGGATGGGATCAGCGGTATTTTTAGCATATTATATCTTGTTTTCAGTGGATTTTCATTCTAGTTCATTGTTATTTTATTGAATCTATATCCATGGAGGTGACTTTCATTTCGCTTTCTATTATAAAAAGTAAAACTTTAAGAGAAAAAATACTTTATTCTCTAGGTTTGTGAAGGCATAATGGAATTAACATTATTTCATGTTAATTTTTAAGATTTGCTTGGGACGTTGGAAGAAATTCTTCCTAAACTTCAAAAAGATGTTAGTGTTTGGATAATGGCCAAGGACTCCACGTTTCCAAATGTGCATACCCTTTTAGACAAAATAGAAGCCGCATCTGAAGACCCTGTTCCAGTTAATCGATGCTCTGCCAACAGTCTCAAGTCAGCTGTTTTATATATATTTACTTCGGGAACAACAGGTACAGATCTTCTAAAGAGTCCATGTTTTCCTTCAGCTTTCATCTAGAAACTTGATTTTTCTGAAACTCTGGTATCACAAAAGCAAAATGTCATGTTTCTCATCTAGAAGCATTACTATAGAAAACCACCCATATTGTGTTTCTCTTCAGTGGTTTGTGGGTTTCTCTTTATTTTTTCCTGCCACATTGTACAAATACAATGAGAGGCTTTACCTCTTATTACTTCACAGCTCAGGTGTTTATAAAACATTGCTTTTTTGGTTGGTTTACAATCATAATAGATAGTATTTTGTGACCACACAACACTCCCTAGCTAAAGTTATTAAGATTTTTACCTAGAACTTTAAAAAATAATCTTGAAACACACAAATAGACATTTGTTTTTCTTACATTAAGTCATGTTTTATGCAGGTCACTGTAGAGACAGAAAATAGGATTAAGTTACTAGCCTTTTAGTTTAGAAACAGATGTCTGAATTGTGCTCCAGCAGCTAAGAAGCTAATACTTAAAAAAACCTGATCACTGACATGAAAGGCAGCATTGTTTTTAAGCTGAATGGATTGGCATTCTCATTCAATTGAACACAACAGTTCTAGCCACATGAAGATTGAAAATACTTATCTGGTTTGAGGCTTTGTTCCTTCATACATATAATAATTTAATTTATTTGCTTCAGGTTCTCAGGAAAAATTAGGAGATAAGAACATCAGTCTCCAATAAGTTAGGAAGTTATAAATACTGTCAAGAGATGAGATTTTATTTGTAATTCTACTAATAGAAATATGCTTAAGCTTGCTTGTTAAGAGTTGGGAGTTAAATTAGCTAAAAAAAATTACAGAATTATCCAGATGGGATGATTTTGTTCTTACAATTAGAATCAGAGTATCTGTGTGAAGTCTCAAGTTTCAGTTATGTAGAATTTAAAATATTTTTGAAACTTTGTATGAAATACAAGAATTTACATTGAATTTCTATTATGTACTATGTAACTAATATCATAAGGTTTGTGTAGTCTGAAGAGTATGGAATAACTAATTTTGAGTTACTGAACATTTTCACATGTTTTGACTGAAAATCTTAGTTAAAAGAAAGGAGTGTTTTGCACAGTCTGTAGTAATCTCTCTGTAAAGGCAAAAGTAAAAACTCAAGACTGTAGAAAACTTTTTGCTATAAGCAATTTATTGGCAACCTAGGCGTATTCCCTTTTCACTTAAGTGTAGAAAAGTGGAATAGCCTGGAGGGTAGCTCAGCTCTCCACAGATTATACTTCCAGCTCTGGCTAAGTCTTCAAATGAACAATAGCTTTGCAAGAATAGGTGAGAAAACTTTATGAATCATTATATTTTTTTTAAGTATTGAACTGTTCTCACCGTTCATCATCAGCCTGACTTAGCCTGAAATTTGTGTGTGTTTGAGAACACATGTATTATGCAAGATCACATCCCCTACTCAGATTTATAGGTACTAGAGTAGTAGCACAAGAAGCCCTTGCTTGTGAGTCTGCATGTTGCTGAAAGGAAGTGCTGTGCTGAACTTGAAGAAACTCTTTCAGAAGAACCTAACTGATGTGGTCTTCTCACAGATTTTTTCTTTTTTGTTAATTCGTCATAGACTTTGTAGAATTCTAAAACAAATAGGAAGATGTATGATTCTTAGATAAGCACCCACTGTGTGACTTACTCCATGTAGATCCCATACCTTTCCTATTTGCCTTACAATCACTATGACTCTTGCCTGAACAAGATCTGGTGTGATGCCTCTTTATGTTAAAAGAGGTCCATATCTACAGTACATTTTTTGTCCCTTCTTGCTTTATATAATTTGCTAGCAGCAAACCAGTGAGTTTCTTTATGTTTTCACTTATTTGAATGACTGTGACATCAAACTAAATAGCGAAGAGATGAGGTTACAAACTGGCTAATCTTTATGTGTATATAAACATGCAATATTGTATTAAACAGACAGTTGTCTATTTATGGTTGTCTAAAAAGATTGTTGACAATTTGATTACAGAAGTAAAAATTAACTCTTTTATGATTTTAGAGACTTCATACAGATTCCCTTTAAGAAATACTTTTTTGCATTATTTTGATTTTATTACAGGTCTTCCAAAGGCAGCAGTCATTAGTCATTTACAGGTTCTTAAAGGAGCTGCTGGACTGTGGGCGTTTGGTGCTACTTCAGAAGACATCATTTATATTACTCTGCCCCTTTATCACAGTGCAGCTTCTCTTCTTGGCATTGGTGGATGCATTCAGCTGGGTAAGGCTTGTTTGCTTTTGTTGTTAATAGAGAATTAATTATTATAAAAATGTCTAAAACGTGCTTAGGTTCACTACCCCTAGGGAAGCTAATGCTTTACTCAAATTCAGTGAGTAGTCTTTTTTGGAATAGCTGTGCATTTTGGGGAGAGGGGATGTTTTGTACTAACAAGTGATCTCTACAAGCTCTCTTTGTGGTGAAGAATTAGTTATCATAATTTGCATCACAAATGTTTTGACTTCTTCATATTTAGGTCAAAAGGAGGTTAAGGACATATACAGTATTTTGGCAGTGTGTATGGTGCATTAGTGTATGTACGACTAAGCATTGTACAGTAGAATAGGATTAAAATGTATTTGGTGAACTTAAAATATTGACAAATACATTACTACTGACTGTGCAAGCTTTTTCATGTATTTTTAAATCCCTTAACTTTTTATCCATTTGATTTTTGTACTGTTTTAACACTGGCAAAAAATCAGATGCATTACTGAGACAATATAGGTGTCCTCAATGGCTCTTTTCTAAAAGATTTATTTGGAACTCCATGACAAATACTTTGTTTCCTTATGCGTCAAGTTCAAGTCAGAGCAAGGGAAAGATCATTGTATTATGGGTTAATAATACAATCTGAATCTGCATTAATGAATACTTTCGTGAGAAATAAGGCTTCAGTGATACTCACGTGATTTACTAATCAGCCTGAATCTTCTGGATATTTTCAGTTAAACGCTTGAACACAAGAGTTCAGGTTAAATTCTTAAAATATGTTACAACACCAACAGTGTTGTAAGAAGGGAAGCTGACTTGTTTTTAAGCTCTGATCTATTACATTGCTGTCTCAGACAGGAGGCTGATTTCCTCTGCCTTCTTTGCCTACCAGGTTTGAACACATATCTTCAAATAAAACAGCTTAAATACTGCATAGTTCTCTGAGCAAGGCTGTCTTAGTTCCTCAGATGATCTGTTTTATAGCTAAGCTGCCACATGGAGCAATTGCCTAATTTCATTTTCCCTACTGTTTCCATAAAGGTGCAACCTGTGTGTTAAAAAAGAAGTTCTCAGCTAGTCAGTTTTGGAATGACTGCAGAAAGTACAACGTGACTGTCATCCAGTACATTGGAGAACTCTGCCGTTACCTTTGCAATCAGCCAGTGGTAAGTGGAATCAAAGTGATGCCTATTTGTCTGTCAGTACATTTATTTTTTTTCATGTGGGTACGCTAAAAGGGAAATTAAACTGTATTAGGCATGTACTTCTGCCCTTCCTTTTATGTGACGTTCTGCAAATATGTGGTGATATGTAGATGCTTAATAAAAATAATGGCTTGAATCATGAAGACATACAAAAAGTATTATAAGGAACAATTTTGACACTAAAAACTGATTCAGTATCATTTGTGATAAAGCACTGTTTCATGGAATTTTGCAAGGTAAGTTCAAACAACCAGAAGTACTTTCCCATGCCTTTTCTGAATTTTCAGAACTCTTTTCTTGGCACCTGTGTGTGTGTCAGAGGTCTCACGTTTTGTACATTATGTTTTAGCACTGTTTTGTTTTGCGAAATGTGCATATTCTGAGACCATCTAAATAATATTTTAAACTTAGAAGGGGCTTGGTCTAGGTTAGCAGCTTGTTGTTCAAAGTGAACCATTTGCTTTTTTTTCCAATTATAGAACTATTCTAGACAACAAATATTTAGCAGAACAGAAAGAATTTTGTGAAAATATACAGAAGTTGGATGCAGTGCAACTGTTACCTCTTTGAAAAGCCTCCTTTTGCCACTATCATAATTTCATTTTGTTATTTCAAAAAAATAATCAGTGGTTTATTTCCTTTTCAGTGAATTTATTAAAATGACTCATCTCTTAGAAAAAGGTACCAGAAACTCAAAGTATTTAATTTGAAAATTATTAACATCATCCTTAAGCAGTATTCTAAAATAAGGGAATGCAAATCAGTCTTGTTTTCCAACAGAATAATAATTTGCATTAATACTGGAGTTGCTGACCAAAGAGTGGAAAAGGTCATTGGATTGCTTTTCCCTGAGGAAAATTTTCTAAAGTATATTTAAGCAATGTAGTTGTGGGTCATGGATCCAACCGCTCTATCCATGTGTGTCCCAGTAAAGTAGAAGTTCTTGAATTAAAGGGAGCATGGATGATGGCCTGGTGAAGTCCACTGGTGCTGATGAGAAACCAGAATAGTGATACCTTCCCTGATTGTTTTTTGTGTGTTGTTTTTGTTGTTGTTTTTTTTTTGTGGAGGGTATGTCTTGGGATTTTGTTTGTTTTTAATTTTTATTTGTTTGGGGGATTTTAACTTTCTAGTAAAATAAACAAAAGCTTAGTCGATAACAAGAAATCAAGTTATAAATCATAAGAAAAAGTCAAGGCATTGGGGAGGCATAGTTTTTATAAATTGTGGGGTTTTTTTTCTTCATTATAGGCTAACTTGATTGTCACAACATCATTTCCCTTCTCACCAAAACTTAATCACTTCTGCTGTGTTTGCAGTCTGAGATATTAATTATTCCCTTTTTCTATTCTCTTACTATACAGGGAGAGCATGGCTTCTTTTCCCACTCCTTTTTATGTTAAACACAAATTATAGATTAATATACTTAATTTCTGAAACAAACTCTTCTAATTTTCAATTTTACCAAGCCACCGTGAAGTAAAAGCAATTTTAAATTGTGCAAATGAAGTCAGTTATACCATCCTTAACTATTTATATACTGCATATACAGTGATTATACAATCATTATCTATTCATTAACCATATAACTATTCTATTTGTTAATTTATGTGCATATTTTCTAGGAGCTGGCATATCTAAACTCTTTCTTCTGTGAGGCTACAGGGTTTTGTTTTGTTTTGTTTTTGCTTGCTTGCTAAGCCTCCTCAAGCAAAATTCAAATTATAAAACAAATCAGTTTGACAGCTAGGTACTTCAAGAAAAATATTAAGTATCTGTCATGTTAAAACTGGAAGAGAAACATGTTCACACAAATAAGTGGAAGGTTTCAAAATATCTTATGCAATTTATTTTTCAAGTTTTCAAGTAAGCAAAATAATTGCCTAAGTTGGATGCCCTATTTAAGTTTCGTTAATGTAGCAGTACTATGTATGCTAGCAGCATAAGAAAGATATGGTGCATTTTAAAGTTCTGTCAGGATATCATGTGGGCACTGTTCATGAGATTAGAGTGCTACAAAGCCCTTCTAATCAACCCAGATTAAATCTATGGCAATTACCTTATTTTCTTAATTTAATTTAGTGTTTCTTTAACACTAAACTTGAAATAATTGTTTACAGTTGGAGTCCATGCTGTGGCCTCGAAGTTCATAAATTCAGAATTGAGCTTTGGGCAAGTCTCTGTGGTAGCATGTAGGCTCTTGGCTGAGCTTTCCCTATTGGTTTTGTCTTGTTTGATCGTTCTGCCTCCCACTCACATCTGCAAAAGTTCTTGAAGGCTCTTGCAGCAAATTTTTCTGAGGTTATTCTGTATCCAGTTTGGTTTAGTAATCTGTTGTCTGGAAAGAACATTTGTTAGAAAAGGAAGTTATCTTTTTTTCTTAGGTACAAGTACAAAAAGATCTGGCTTTATGTGACATTTATAGATTTTGCTGGGTTTCCAAGTGAGTAATCCTCAAGCCTGCCCTCTTCCAAACACTTCTTCTGCAGCATTTTGATTGTAGGAAAATACAATGACCAGCATTGATGGCTAATAGCCATCAGTAGCTACAAAACAGATCCATCTGTAAGATACGAGCATGACTACTCCAGTGAAGAAGAATATTTAGAAAATTGATAAACTGGTCTTGTTGGCTGACATTGCTCAAATTCTCTATTAACAGTGATCTGAAAAACTACAAGAGTATGGCATAGCAGAGCTCTCTGTATTGCCTCTTAGCAAAAGCCTTGGAAATTCTTCTCTACCAATCCGTGGATATATTTTCCTTAGACACTTGCAGCTAATTTAAATTTTAGCATCTGAACTGTAAACGAAACCTTCCAAAGGCAGTTGCAGATTTATTTCAAATTTGACATAATGATCTATTTAACAATGCATTGTATCCTGAAGCTTCTGGAAAGATGGGAATGGTAATGCAGCATCTCTTTCCTGCTTTTCTGTAAAGAAGACCTGCATCCTGAAAAGTGTTACAAACAGAGGTTAGAAATCAGTGTCCTTAACCATTATGTCATGTTTTCTACTTTTGTAAGCTGTGATGCAGTGTGACGGTATTTGTATGATTTATGATCCCTTGCATGAAATAAGTAAGCTCTCTATTAAAACGAGAGCTCACTTCTGCTTCTATTCAAAGTCTTCGTCACGAATAATTGTATCATTGCTTACAATTTCCCATTTACTATGTGTCCTGTTTTATGTCCACTTGGTATTGAGACAGTGTTATCCTCTGGCACAGGTAATATTTCTTATTTCCTTGGGATTACCTAAGTGTATAAGACCATGCTTATCAGCTTTCAGGCTTTGTTTTGTTAAGCTGAGGCAAAACAGTCTCTCTAATAGATACAATTTGGCCACGGGTTCTTTGGATAGGATTAAGCTCTCTGAAATTACTTTAGAGAAGATGCTTAGGATTTATTGTGTTAAAACTCTTCTGTGTTAGAACAATAGTAGTGTAGAAGGTGAAAACAAGGAATTCAGTGCTACTGGGATAAGAAAACAGAATGAATATTTATTTCCCTGCAGTTGCCTAAAGTGTTGTGAAAAGTGATGTAAGGATGTGGTTTATGTAGTTAGCACTGACTCTCACCAAGAAGCAGTTTTCCTTAAAGGAAGGGAATTTAATGGTCACATAAGCAAGGAGAAATTAGTCACTAGGCACTTTTCTAAAATGCAGGTTTTACTTGTAATCACATTTTATTTCCCATTAAAGTTTAGTTCAATTTATGCTTGGTACTGGAAATTGTTCTTTCTGATATCCTTAAAATGTGGAGTGGAAATGTGTTAAGCCCCTTGCAGGTTTTTGACATAAATATTTTATTGAATACCCTAAACCAGTAATGTGACACAGTTGCAAACAGCCACATCTGTACCTTCCTTGGGAAAGCTTCTAAGAATCTCTACATGTCATTAAAATTTAATTTATAGGGGTGAATTTTGCAATTTGTTTATTCTTGTAGTGACCTAACCTTTAAAAAGAAACCTGAAACCAACTGCATGTCATAAGATATCATTCTTAATCCAAGTATTTCTTACTGCAGTATCAGCAGTGCCTAAAATAAAATTGAACATTGTTTGTACATACTGTTAGAGAAAATATAACTTTTAGACTAAGAACATACTCAGCACATCTTAAATTAAAACTTAGAAAAGGCCATGAGATTTGGAAGCTTGTATTTTTTTCTCTCTAGACTGTATCATTTGACCTTATAAAGAACAGACTGTATGTCATAGCAAACATCTTGTTTTCAACTGCCATAACTACAACAACAGTATTATTTTTGTAAAATGGTTTTAAAACAGATTATAAAACCACCTATTTTTCTTACTGTCTTCTAATACTTACAGATACTGACCTACCTCTCTTGGTACCCACAGATGATCCTGTGTCTGTTTTCTCATCCTCCCCAGTAATAATGGTAAAAGGTTTTGAGGTGTTCTTCATGGAAAATTGTTTCTGTGATATCTCAGAAAGCATTCGTTTTTTATATACAAACAGCACTGAAGGCTAGTTAGAACATCAACTATTGATTCTACCGTGGTGGATCATGACCTAAGAGGTCATACAACTTGACCAATTTCTCTCCTTCCAGTTTTTCCTAGACTTGTCTTTTGGGTTAAACAACTGGAGTCATGCAAAAAATGTGCTTATATTAAAGCTTGGAAATCACAGCCATGTTTTCACAAAGGAAAGCTTCATACTGCTCACAGAATAGTGTGTGTAACATGCACCACAAGAAATAATCTGTATGCACTTTAATTCTCTGAACTGACCTATGAAAAGTTTTGTGTGATTTGTTTTGACTGGTGTGCTCCTGGGACAATTACCAAAAATACAATTATCTGCTTCATATTACAGGGTGGTACAGAGACAAAAGTGACTTTTTTTTTTTTGTTTCTGAGGAGATGGGAATACATTTAAATAAAATATTTCCTCTTTGAAGAGCTAATTGAAGAAAGCTTCTTCT